TGTCTGAGGCAGATGGTCAGGCCCTAAGTTCTAGTTTATAAATCCGGCACTGGGTTCATTGTCTGAGGCAGATGGTCAGGCCCTAAGCTCTAGCTTATAAATCCGCCACTGGTTGTTAAGCGGCCAAGGATTAGGTCATCGTCGAAATATGAAACTATTAATACCGTTAGACGTATCATAGGAAAACCCACTCTTAGAGAATGATCATCGTCAGATTTAATCTTCTCAGAGTTCGTCCACTTATCGTGACACGGATACTTTTGCACTATTAACATTGACCTTGAACTACTTCACCAGAAATCCCCCCCCCAAAAAAAAATAAAAAAATAATATCTTCAAACAGTAAGGTTATTGCCCCCCCCCCTCCTATTTTTTTTAGGATAGCTTTCAATCAAATTTGAAATGATTGAGAGATAAATCGTGGGTTAGATATCACTTAATTTTGTGTGCGCCCCCCCCCCCCAAACCTCCCCCAAGCTGATCCCTTAAATGGTAATGACAGAGTTCTTTTAAGTTAAATTGGATAGAGCTGCTGTTTCGTTTGAAGTGAGCTCAGAGAGACTCCAGTGACAACAGTGAGTTGATGACGATTAAAACTATTGTTTCAACAACCACTTCATTCGGGTATAATATATAGATATATTTGATGTTTATTGCAATGGCGCACTGCTGGAAGAAATTTGTTACAATCATAGATGTACAGCAAGGCAGGATTTAATACAAAACAATTAGAATAATATACAAAGGAAAGTTTACACTTTTTAGTAGATTCAAAGTTGAGCACAAGAAAAAATATGTTGTTTTCTCTTTGTGGGTCTATATGTTAAGTAACAAAATAGAATCGTATAACTGTTCGTATGTTCTTAAAGCTACCAGGAACATAGGCTTTACAAAGGCTGTGTATTTTGGGGAGGTCTGTGAGTTCAACTCCCCGGTACATAGGCTATACAAAGGTCCCATCTTTTGGGGAGGTCTGTGAGTTCAACTCCCCGGTACACAGGCTATATATACAAAGGTCCCATCTTTTGGGGAGGTCTGTGAGTTCAACTCCCCGGTACATAGGCTATACAAAGGTCCCATCTTTTGGGGAGGTCTGTGAGTTCAACTCCCCGGTACATAGGCTATACATACAAAGGTCCCATCTTTTGGGGAGGTCTGTGAGTTCAACTGTCCATCAACTCCAGAGTGATTAATCCCCAGCTGAGAATTGTTGGACGATTTACTGAAGGTTACAAAAACATTTTTTTTGGTGGTTTTATTATGACCAGATATGGGGAGTATATAAGTCAGGAGGAGTAGCTCATTCCCCCCCCCAACACCCCTGCCCCCCACCCTTCAGCACATGATCCGCTTGGGTTTTAGAGATGCTACATGCTACCCGGGATAGGAGTTTAGGGAAGCTAGTGAATAGACTAGATAGGAGTTTAGGGAAGCTAGTGAATAGACTAGATAGGAGTTTAGGGAAGCTAGTGAATAGACTAGATAGGAGTTTAGGGAAGCTAGTGAATAGACTAGATAGGAGTTTAGGGGAGCTAGTGAATAGACTAGATAGGAGTTTAGGCAAGCTAGTGAATTGACTAGATAGGAGTTTAGGGAAGTTAGTGACTAGACTAGATAGGAGTTTAGGGAAGCTAGTGAATAGACTAGATAGGAGTTTAGGGAAGCTAGTGAATAGACTAGTTAGGAGTTTAGGGAAGCTAGTGAATAGACTAGATAGGAGTTTAGGGAAGTTAGTGAATAGACTAGATATGAGTTTAGGGAAGCTAGTGAATAGACTAGAAAGGAGTTTAGGGAAGCTAGTGAATAGACTCGATAGGAGTTTAGGGAAGTTAGAGACTAGACTAGATAGGAGTTTAGGGAAGCTAGTGAATAGACTAGATAGGAGTTTAGGGAAGCTAGTGAATAGACTAGATAGGAGTTTAGGGAAGTTAGTGACTAGACTAGTTAGGAGTTTAGGGAAGTTAAAAGCTACCTGGGATAGGATTTCAAGGAAGCTAGCATGATAATGATAGGAGTTTTCGAGCTGGTCTTCCCTTTTAAAACCACACCTCCAGCCACCATGAAATCAATATCAATCCCGGCTAACCTTTGAGGTCAAGAACACATTGAATTTTTGATGAAAGCAGACAAATTAAGACTTTTCTTCATTCGTAGTTTCAAACTACAAAATAATTATACCCGTAATTTATTTAAACTCTTATCACTTATCAAACTTTTCCTCCATTTAAACGAACGCCCGACACTGACAAATCCAGGGCAGTTGACTCAGTGAACATTAATTTACTTAATAGAAAAAGCCGATGTTGTCCGCGCCCCCCCCACCACCACCTTTTGATTGGCTCTTTACCACTAGGGCCACTATCACTAGGGTCAAAATATTAGGACATAGAACAATGGGCCCATTTTGTAACCATCATCACCAATGTGTGCTTCCCATTTGGTAACCATCATCACCAATGTGTGCTTCCCATTTGGTAACCATCATCACCAATGTGTGCTTCCCATTTTGTAACCATATTCACCAATGTCTGCTTCCCATTTGGTAACCATCATCACCAATGTGTGCATCCCATTTTGTAACCATATTCACCAATGTCTGCTTCCCATTTGGTAACCATCATCACCAATGTGTGCATCCCATTTTGTAACCATATTCACCAATGTCTGCTTCCCAAATCCTCTTTGACGCTAACAAAAAAGGTCCTATTGAGTCAGGGAGCAATAAACTACAACCTAACCAGCCTGGGTTCTCTTCCATGCAAAAAAGATGCGTATCCGGAAATTTGATTGAAAGAAATTTCGTCGACGGTAAATTGATCGACGGCAATTTGATCGAACGAAAATTTGGTCGAATCTATTTTTCATTTTTTTTACATTAAAATTTGGCATCACATTTCTTTTTGATCGCATTATTTTGTATTACCATCTAGTCTAGTATGTTGCGTTCAAAAAGAAATTTGACGAAAAGTTTAACATGTGAACTGAAAAATGATTTGATCATATTTCCTTTCATCAATTTACCGTCTACGAAATTTCTTTCGATCAAATTTCCGGTAACCGAAAAGATGTATATTCATTTTTCTCCGATGGTTCAGAGTTCAGACACATCAGTCAAGACTGCTGGAGCTGATGTATGTACAGAACATTGTTCTTCAGTAATCTAGTAGGATTATTTCAAATGCATCACAAGACAGTAAACAGAATAATGGTAATAGTAATAGTTAATCATGTAGCAACAGGATTAGAAGTTTACATTATAATTCATGATTATGGCGTGACATGTTTCTACTCTTTACAGAGAGAGGTAAAAATCAGGGAAATAGAAATGTATGGAGGAATATAGAAAAATGGGACATTTTATTGTGAAGAAATGTTATGTCCTGTTAGCACCTGAGGATATGGACCTGAAACTAATGGATAAGAAACATGCAGGATATTTATACATTGATGGATGAGACCACACAAAAACTAGAGTCTGGTTAGTTTAGAAAAGTTGTATCACATGATCACTGGTCAAACAACAACAACAACAAGAACTGTTCTTATGATTCAAGTCGCAGCCTTTAACCTGAGATCACACACTACAAGAAACTGTGGGGGAGAAACACGGTAATGAGAGTAGGGGGCAGAGAGCAAGAGAGGGAGAGATAGAGGGGAAGATAGAGAGGGAGAGATAGAGGGGGAGATAGAGAGGGAGAGATAGAAGTTCATTACAAAAATTGTATAAAAGAGATGAGTAAATATAATCATATGAGAAAGAGAGGAGAGATAGAGAGAAAGGAGAGAAGAGAGAGAGAGAAAGGAAGGAAGGAGAGATGAAAGGAGAGAGAGGAAGAAGAGAGAGAAAAAATTTACTGGATGTCTCAGAACAACAAGATAGAGTATGATGAATGATTCCCAGAATTTTGTTAAATGCTGAAGTCAACTCCAAAGATTCACAAAAGAATTTGTATCACAGCCGCCATCAAGTAATAATCAGGAGAAATCTTTTTTGAAATATCCAAATAGTCTCCTCAGCCTTACCTCCCTCTACTGAGACATCACTGAAACTCTACCAGTCCCTAAATCTAAAATACGTTTGTAAAGTAACACATCTTTGCTGCCTATCTATTCCCTGCTGTACTCATTATATTAGGCCCTTGCTGCCTATCTATTCCCTGCTGTACTCATTATATTAGGCCCTTGCTGCCTGTCTATTCCCTGCTGTACTCATTGTATTAGGCCCTTGAAACTAAATTTTCCTCAAGTTAACTCAAATAAATTAACTTGCATCCATATAATACCAGTTTTGTATTGCTTCTTAGTTTAAAAAACAAAACAATCATGTTCTTTGTATCAATGTAACAACAATCATGTTCTTTGCATCAATGTAAAAACAATCATGTTCTTTGTATCAATGTAACAACAATCATGTTCTTCGTATCAATGTCAAAACAATCATGTTCTTTGCATCAATGTAACAACAATCATGTTCTTTGTATCAGTGTAAAAACAATCATGTTCTTTGTATCAGTGTAAAAACAATCTTGTTCTTTGTATCGATGAAAAAACAATCATGTTCTTTGTATCAGTGTAAAAACAATCATGTTCTTTGTATCAGTGTAAAAACAATCATGTTCTTTGTATCAGTGTAAAAACAATCATGTTCTTTGTATCAGTGTAAAAACAATCATGTTCTTTGCATCAGTGTAAAAACAATCATGTTCTTTGCATCAATGTAACAACAATCATGTTCTTTGTATCAATGTAACAACAATCATGTTCTTTGTATCAATGTAACAACAATCATGTTCTTTGTATCAATGTAACAACAATCATGTTATTTGCATCAATGTAAAAACAATCATGTTCTTTGTATCCATGGAAAAAAAAATTAATGATAATTTTAAACAATTACAAACTATATTTTCGTTTGATTGTCATCTGTCACAGAAATTAGATAAATACTTATGAGTACTTATAAAAACTAAAAAGACTTAAAACTTGGTATTACAAAACAATTTAGAGTTATCTATGCTTTGGTGGCCCAAGGTAAAGCCTAAATACTGTAACTACTGTTGAGGTAAGAGCGGCTCTCGTTATAAGACAACAGACATAAACAGCTCGAGGGGCTGTATTCTAGAAAATCTGGACGATATTTAAATCCGAGGAAGCAAAATTCACATCATTCAAAGTCAGCGAAAGATCTGGGGTAATGCTTCACTAAATCCGGCACTGAAAGATCTTGGCTAAAAATTTGAAAGCCTAGCACTAACATGAGGCATTACTTTAGAAAACCTTGAAGAATTGAAATCAGTTTCTGTAGACCGAACAAGAAATTTTTGTCGATGTCTGTCGCTGGGAAGGCATGGGCAAAGTCAATCAGGTGAACTTGCGCACATTTCCCAGGCGAATCTTTGCCGGAGTCAGGGAGCACCTTCTCGGCCGCATCACCGATGATGTCGTCACGGAGTCTTGGTTTCTTAGCTCTTGACACATCCAGGATGCCATCTTGATTGAAACGTTTCTGCAACGTGCTGCCTCTGTTGGCCGAGTTTTTACCATCTTGCCCCTCAGAGATCCTATTGACAGACTCACTTGTGTTCTGCACCTTAGAACCATCTTCATTTTGGATGGGCGGCCTCTTGGACTTGGATGAATTCAGAATTCGGTCAGTCAGTTTCGACCCCTCGTACACCATGAACAGAGAGCTGGCGATGAAAGAGAACTTCTTCTGTCTCAGGAACCACGATTCTAGTTTGAGAAGTTTAGAGACGATTGGCTGAATTACATCCCTTCTTACTTCCCCGTTGCCTGGTTTGAAAAAGCACCCAAGTCCTGAAAAATGTACACAATATTTTTTAAATGGGCAAAAAGAACTTTTCTACAATAATTTTTTTAATGAGCAGTAAGAACTTTTCTGCAATACTTTTTTTAATGAGCAAAAAGAACTTTTCTGCAATAATTTTTTAAATGAGCAGTAAGAACTTTTCTACAATAATTTTCTTAAAATTGGAATCTTAAAATTAATTTCTACAATTTAGGCATCATCATCATATGAACAGAAACAGAAGTCTGGCTAATTTCAGAACTGCCCAATGGCATCAATGGTGTGTCTGATATTATAATATTTCTTTTATGTTTTATGCTACCAGGAATGTGTCTACTGCTGGAAGCCTCTGATAGTATCAGGTATTGATTGATTGATTTTGATATTAGGTATCTTATGGTACAGTGCAGTGGTCGATAACCTCCGGCTATGGTGCCGAATGGAGCTCTTTAAATAAATTAATGCATCTCATTTCATTACGAAAGGTTAAATTTTTTCTTTTTTTTTTACTTATCCACAATGGCATTTTAAAAATCCACTTGCGGTTGACTAAATATTTTCTTAGCAGATATTACTTATAAAATGTCTCGTCACTCAAAAATGGTTGCAGATCCAAGATTTTAGGGATTTATTTATATTATACTATTATCGGAACTTAAGAATGCCTCAGTCAAAGCTGGTCTTGATGTAAATGAGCCGAAGACAAAATATATGATAATGTCACAAAACTCCCCACTGATGACATCATTCATATAAACAACCACGAATTTTAGAGAGTGGCAACATTAAAATATCTAGGGGCAACTATAAACGAGCACAATGAAATAATGTCGGAGGTGAAAGAAAGGATAACAGCAGGCAACCATTCCTATTTCAGCCTACAAAAGCTACGGAGAGAAAAAAACTCTCAAGGGGAACAAAGAAGACAATATACAGCACTGTCATAGACCAGTAGTAACTTACGCAAGGGAGACTTGGACCCTTACCAGAGAAGCAGAGAATCTTCTCAGTTCATGGGAGAGGAAAATCCAGAGAAAAATATGCGGCCCAGTGATAGAAAATAATATCTGGAGAATCCATTCAAATCAAGAGCTATATCCATTGTAAAAAGACCCACCCATAGTCGCAACAATATATAAAGGCAGACTGCGCTGGGCAGGACATATTGAAAGGATGCCGGAATGTAGAGCAGCAAAAGTAATATACAGGCAGAAACCTAGGGGCAGAGGACTCACCGGTTACCCATGGCTGAGATGGATCCACCATGTAGAGAAAGATTTACACCAGTTGGGGGTTTGTGCATGGAGGCGGAAGGCCATGGATCGTTCCACATGGAAGGATGTGGTGGAGCAGGCCAGGGCCCTACATGGGCTGTAGCGCCACTGATGATGATGATGATGATTATACTATTATCAACAATATCTGGTGAATTAGTAGTGCATCTTACCGTCTGTAACAATGGTCTCCTCTGTGAGATTTTTACTAAATTCTTTGTCATATTTAGCAACAGATTGTACAACTGGATCATAAACCTGAAACGTTCATTAGAGACATGTCACAATGTATTTCATGCTACAATCTCGGACATTCAAGAAAACTTGTCAAAGCTGCTTTATTAATGTGTTGCAGATATTTTCAAAAGGTCCCTCAATTTTTTTAAACTAGCTCTAAAGCCCATTCACCCATAAGCCAAACACATACACACAGCCCCACCCACACCCCACTGTTGTCTAACGNCCCCCCCCCCTTTCTTTTGGCAGGGATAAACCTCAAGAGTGTACAACCTGCCCATAAGCCGACCCAGTAAAATGATATGCTAGAGTAAGTGGTACGGTTCAAAAGAAAATAATTTTTTTATGACTGCTGCTTGGAAAGAAAAATGTGATAGATTTGTCCTTGCAAGTGTGTATTAAGGCCTAAATGGCAAGTGACAATAAGTCAGTGTAAGTGCAGATGAAAGTCTGGTACCGGTAACTGGTGTATATAGGTCAGATGCTGGTACCACCCACCAGTAACTGGTGTATATAGGTCAGATGCTGGTATCAACCAACGGGTTTCAAAACGAGAGTTTCTCTGGATGTTCTAAAAAATAGGTTTCACCTACTGTACTGGTACATTCTTATAAAATATGACAATCTCACTATGTTGTGTGGAACAGTTTGGAATGCATTGTAAGAGTACAAACTTTTAACTCGATGTCGCACCGAGCTTTGTGCCTTACACTGATTGCAGTTATATACTTTTTTGGTTATTGTGTTCTATAATTAATTCAAAATAACCTAGAGAAAATGATTAAAAAAATCTGCTATGACCAGGTCGTAAGCTGATCACCCAACTTATTTCCCTGAAATTTATTTTCAAAAAGGTAAGCTAGAGAATGTGTATTTATGGTAAATATTTTTAACACTGAAAAAGCCCTTTAGGCGTGAGTGCATATGCTTACTCAAGTAAATAAAGCACTAATGGTTTCTATCCAGTTAGTAAAATAAATATTTAACATGACACATTCATGGTTATGGTAATAAGATGTATAACAATTCTATGCTCGGAGCACGTTTTCAACTTTGAAATCAAGAAATATCTAAACTAATAAATATAACTGTTTATATATAATTCCATTTACCATCATGCCAGTAATTTGAAATCCCAGGTTTTTCAGTGGTGGATATTTGGAGATTTCATGTGCAATCTTCTCTGGCGATGCCTCCTGATCATAGGTCACCTGACCCATTTTAAGGTCAATGACACAGGGATGCTTGAAACCATATGTCAGATTGGCCAGTTTCAGATACTTCACTGAAAAAAATAAATATACCTGGCCATTTGAACTGTTGATAGGAGCATTTTTATTTTAAAGTTCGTGAAACGTGTTCACATCGGACATTTAAATAAAATCGTTTTAAGCAACTAGCCATAAAAAATTTGTTTAAGGAACGAGCCATAAAAAAACATGGTTTCACAAAGAAACAAATGAACTTATCCTGATCTTATCACACATTATTGAATGCTAATTGCGAGGGCAACTAATCAAATGCTAACTGCGAGGCCAACTGATCAAATGCTAACTGTGAGGCCAACTGATCAAATGCTAACTGTGAGGCCAACTGATCAAATGCTAACTGTGAGGCCAACTGATCAAATGCTAACTGTGAGGCCAACTGATCAAATGCTAACTGTGAGGCCAACTGATCAAATGCTAACTGTGAGGTCAACTGATCAAATGCTAACTGTGTGGCCAACTGATCAAATGCTAACTGATTTGTAAAAACAGACTCAAATTGAAATTTGAAACAAATCTTATCTTATATTTTCATTGGTGGTAATATTAGCACAGACAAATGATGCTTGAGATTCATAATGTTTCCAAACATCATAAAAAAAGGGGGAAAAAGATTACCTTTTTTTTTTCTTCTTTTTTTTTTTTTGAGAAAAGAAATGATAACCAATTTAAATGCCAAATAATTAATGTGCAATTATTTTGGCATCTCAAGTCTTATTAGCCAGAACAAGGTTTTATACTTCTAAGCATTCTGTGTACTAGGTTTTTATATTTTGTATAGTCTCTGTACTAGGTTTTTATATTTCTGCACAGTCTCTGAATTAGGGTTTTGAACTTGGAGGTTGGCATGTGTGGCAAAGAATAAAAACGTACTGGGTATGTACAAAATAACTACAAGAAGTTGTATTCTAAGATAGTTTAAAACATACCCAGCTGCTGGAATCAAGGTGCAGTATTGAATAAATTCACTTTAAAAAGTTTTATTAAAGTAATAAGTGTGCCATTGATACAGACAGATTGAGGAAAAAAACTCTTTTTGGCTAAAAATCTTTAGCATTATTAATAAGCACAAAATTCAAACAACAAGTTGCCAGTTACAAGATTGAATATTTTTTAAAGAGAGTGTAAAGGAAATATTTGTGCTCAAAATCCCTTTCCTCAATGATTAATACAATCTTACAGAGCTGCGAGCTTTGCCCTTTCTTTGTCCTATCTTATATAAGAAAATAAAAAATGAGTTTATCTCCTACTATAAATACCAAAAATATAATATATAAAATTGTTCCAAACATTAATGTCTGATCAATGTTTTTTATGAATCTTCCTTTGTATTTCCATAGTATGATATTGTAACCCTGATTGAACTGTGCCAGATTTAACTGTGTAACTGTAACAGGTTGCAATGACCATGGCCTACTTATAAGTAGAACTGTAGATAGGTAGGAGAGTTATCAACTCTTGCAGTGAAACTTAATGTTATGCTGTTACACCAAGGATCCTTAAACTTTTTAAACTGCCCCTAAAAACAGATGGGGTCAAAATATACCTTACAAAAATGGACTAATTCCTATGCACACAGCACATTTCTTATTTGTAGTGGGGGGGAAGGGAAAAACAAAAGGATATCTTAAAGAAGAACAACTTTAATGAACATAAAGTTATTAGAATTTTAATGGTAAGTATAGGCCGGTTTTTAGCTTAAAAGATGTTCAATGTCTAGTTCCATTGTTGCCATTTCTACCCAAGTAACGGTACCAGGCGGTCTGAGTTAAGGACCCCTATCTGGCTGCTTCGAAATCCCTGTGTCACCCAAGCTGAAGAGTGAATAGGAAAAAAGGATTTATTTTGTTACAGTTTCATGTGGTGTCCAGTGTCTAGGACAGATATGAACTTCGGTATCTCTACAAAACCCCCTGGACATGATTACGCAGGGTCTGCTGTATATAATGACCTCAATTTTATAATAATAAAAAAATTGTAAACAAATGCCAACAGATGACTTTATGAACTCAGGAAGTTCCACAACTTCAACTTTTGATTTTACCTGTTATCTTCACCAGTTTATTGATTTTAATTTTTTTTAAACTCCTTAAAATAAGAGGCCAAGTATGCATTTCCTTTGCCATCCAGTTAATAACATTAAAAATTGTCAGCATAGTTTCTACACATGTTTTAATTTTAAGTCAAACACTGTTCATCATTTTTTTAAAGTACCGACATAATAATTTTAAATTAAATACCTCCGCATTTTTCATGAGTGCCATAAAAAGCTGGAAGAAACTCCCTCAGCTCAATCAGGTCTGAATCTGTGCATTCTGGATCAAAGACCTTTTGATAAAAGCCAAGTTCTCGTGCACCCCTGGGTGGATTTTGCAGAGACTTCAAGACAAGTCCATTGCCAAGATCCACCATGCCGGCTAAAATTGATTAAAAAAAAAAAAGATGAATCATTTCAGTTTGTTTTACTGACACAACAATATTTTCTTTCTTAGATTTTCTGTGACGTCCAGCCTATTTAATTGATTTGTTCATAATCTTAGACAGATAATAAGCAAGAAAAAGCATGTACAAACATAAGGAAACAGCAAGAAATATTTAAGAATAAATTTAAATAAATTTTTATTAATCCACTAATTTTGCTGATTTTCTGTTCTAAAACTTACAACAGATTATCTTTAAGTTTATATGGTATTCAATTTTTTTTCATGCAGAAACAACAACGATATGAGAATTACATAAATAAAAAATATTTGAAAATACTTCATACAGAAACAAGTGAAATTAACTAAAACATTATATTACCAAGCTTTTGGGTTTGATTGTTAGCATGGGCAAACTGATGGCCACCAACTTGGGTCTCCAGAGTTTTCCAACCTGTCTGGTTCTTATCTGGACCATTGGCTGCTAAGAAATCAGAAATGTAAGTCTGTAAACTTTAATGAGAAAGTTGCCTAATGATAAACTTCTAAAACCAAAACTTTCAAACTGCATGAACTCTCATTATTTTAGACTCCACTTTTAAGACCAACACTTTCAAACTGCATGAGCTTTTATTCTAGATTCCAGTTTTAAAACAGTGCATAATTTTTGAGTCTCGAGTAAAAAATAAGCAGTACAGGCATAATACTAAATTAATGTTTGTTTGAATGAGCTTATGTATAGTAGCATAATTAATTACCAATATATCTTTAGATATAAGCTGTTCATATTTAACTGCTAAGCATACTTAATAAATTTTTAATAAAAAACTTTGGAAAGAGAAAAACTAATATAAACATATACTAATCCAAAATAAGCAGGAAGTTGCTGGATTTAATGCTGCTGAAAAATTATTATTTTATAACACACATGGAGTAAAGTCATAATTAACTTAATTGAAATAGCAATTACCCGGTAGGTATAAATATATTTATATAAATATATATATATATATATAACATATATATATATAGTTCTATTCTGCTCCCCAAGATATTTAATTAAAATTTATCAAAATAGAAAATGCAAGGGGTGTTTTCAAGATAGGCATTTAAGGGCGGTATCTATTTTAAAACATTTCTACAGTATAACCTTTTTTAAGAAAATATCCCCAAAAAATAAAATTTCTGATCCGATGACTGTTCAGAACTTGACTAGTTCATGAACTGTAGTCATCTGCATTATGACTTAAAAAAAAAAAAGATAACAACAATAACAGACAAAGTTAGTTACACAATAACAGAGTTCAGAATGAACAGAATCAAAATCTTCAAAACTTGTTTTACGTTTCTTCTCAACCTTCATTAAATTTTCTTTAAAAGGTATAATTTATTTTACTTGTATTGTCATGTGGGAAGAAAGTACAGAGTTAAAAGTTTCATAATAAAATTGAGTGTGCCAACTATGTCCATTGTGTGCTAGTAAATCAAAGCAACTGATTCTACCTTCTCCTCACACTGTGTCGCAAAATAGTTTTGATAGGATGTGTTATGATTTGGGATGTTGATACCCTTTTTAAAATTAAAAAAAAAGAAAGTTTTCAGTTCGATAAATCTGGTTTTATACCAGCTATTTTTAAAATCAGAGCTTGATTCCTGGAGGAACACATGGTAACAACGCTCCTGTACTTTTTTGTTTGCTAAGAAATAAATATGGTACATATTTGTGTGTGTGGTAGGGAGAGTGTTGGAAGCGTCTTGGGTGAAATCCCACATTTTTACCCACAGTACTTGACCCTTATTTGTAATGCCATTCACACTGCACCTAACAGTCATGTCAGATCGACATGATCCTTCAAAAGACTCCTTCATACACTGCTGTACGCCAGATGGAACTTGTGTGTGTGGACCATCCATAGGCATAGAGCGGAATATGCATTCTCTTTACATTGTAGTTTTTGTTTGGGAAGTGGGGGGGAGAGAGACACACTATTATGGGAAACTATAATCTGACAACTTTTTACTATCCAATCCCACAATAAAGGCTTGCAATAACAAGGCCACCCTTTTTCCCCATAAAAAAAATCCAGCCACAATCAGTTTTTGACATTTGTCTCAGCTGATATAGATACAGAGTGCTGTATGTTCAGATATGCAAAGTATTAGCAAGTATCCTACCAATTTTATGAATTATACAGATCTCTATAATTTTAAAAAGAATTTATTTATTAAATAGAAATAAAAATACATACAATTGGTTTATCCATTTCTTTTTAAAATAATCTTGATATTTTTTCTTCTTTTTGTTTAAATATCATATAAAATAGTTAAAAAACCAGGGTTGAAAATTAATAAAAGACTGTTTTTTTAATTTAAGCCGGTTTTGGGTTTCAAAAATTAAAACCTGAAAGCTGGTTTTCGTTTGAGATCCTTAGTTTTTTTAAATATAAGTATGCATCAAGCATGATATTGATTCAATAAATAATAATGATTAAATAATAATTAACTTTGATGAAATTGCTGTTATTCTGTGTGTGAGTGTCACATTGAGTGAGTCATGAAATTAATGAAAAGTTTGAAACAGTATCAGTATATGAATATGATAAGTATCATCTCAGTATGTGAAGGCCTATTTTATAGTTATAGTATAGCTTTTAAATCTTTACCCTTTACTGTGTAAAGACTCTACCTAACTTTAAATTATTCACATTTATATATTTTAGACTAGGCCTAGGCCTAAGCATAGTCTTGATAGAGAGTAGAGAGAGCAGAGTCTAACTACTAAGGCTAAGGGAAAGCTTTATGAATCTTTTAGAGATGAGCCTTAAGACTGAATTTAAGATAGTGAGTGAGGATGAGAAAAGTAAATCTTACTTGTTAGTCGTGTTATGTTTGAGTTTGAAGTTTCCTCATTTGCCATGATTTATTAAGTTAACTCAAAATCAAGTGATGTCTCAACTTGAAGTAGGTACACTCCACTAATAATAGTTCAAGTACACGAGTACCGAGTGAAATTACGTATATAACTAAGCCTCTGCTTAGAGTACTAAGCTTTGAGTAGTTAAGACTAAAAGTAAAAGTTTAAGACTAAAAAGCTATCGACGATAGAGGAGAAGACCTGAAGTCGAAGTCCGACACGTAAAATAGACAAAACTAAAAAAAAAAAGAGTCAGGTCAGAGACACTAGACAGTCAACTCAAAGTCAAACTAAAGAGTCTTTCAAAGACCGATACAGTTTCGAAAAGGGTCCAAAGACGTTCCTTTTGTTGCTGACATTTATAATAATACTAATTAATTAACATTGTTTAAGCTTAGGCCCCCACTTCAAGTTGGCCTTTATAAAACTTTATTTAGTTTTTATTAGCAATCTATGAAATTAAAGTGAATTAGACCTAGCAGTCTAGCAGTTAAAAACTTAGGCACCCATTGTTATTAGTTTAATAACTAGGCTACAGAAAATCTTAATAAAATAATAATAATAATAAATATTTAGATGTTCGTAGTAGGGCGCCTAATTAATCTGCTTTTAAATTCAGAATGATGTATTACAAAAAATGTTTAGAAAGTTTTGTTATAATTATTGAACTTAAAATTATTGTTATAATAATATCATTTTTTTAAAAATATTTAAATCAATTAAAACGAAATCTTTTAGAGATAAGAATTAGAACGTACCCGGTTTAGTCATGTGATCGTTAAAATGTCGGCCAAGAGATATAAACAAGAAATTGTACTGGGTACTTCATTGTCTGAGAAGGCAAGGAGCCTAAGATCAAAGCAAATGTTCGTTTCCTTTTAATTTTACAGCATAACTTAAGCAACTCGTTTTTTTGTCACCTTTAATTGAAGATGATTGCAACAGTAATAATTGGGATTTTTATAATAGCCCTTTCCTACCTATACATCAACCGTAATAAACGAGTCCGAAATTGTATTAATAAAATTCCTGGACCTCCAACATTACCAGTGCTGGGAAATGCACACCAGTTGAATTTAGGACACGGTAAGTAGAAAATCTTCTTGTCGTTTAGTAAATTTTAGTTAATTTTATACTGACTAGGCCTATATTAGAACTTATAATTAATAATAAAACATGAAGTATAATATAAGTATAAGTAACTTTTTACTTATTATTATTAATTACAAATTTAAAAAAAGGTTGCTTAAGAACTTAAGGGTCTTGCAGACTTGCATTGGCCTTTTCAGGCTTTGGCTTTGGTAATCTTTTATCATATCATATCTTAGTACCCTAAGAACTAACTTCATTGGAAATAGATAGTAAGATACTAAGATAGGCCTGATAGGAAAGCTTTTTTTTGTTTTTTTTAAAGTTAACTTTTTAAAAATAATTATCATCTTAATTATTTTTTAAAGTACTTTTTAAGTCAAAGCATGTCTGTCTTTTTGTCCCAAGCCCAAAGCAAAAACTTAAAAACAAATTGTACAAGTAGGCTACAAAATCATAATAGTGCACTCCATCACTCCATGAATCTTTTGCAATTCATTTTGCCTTTGTTGTCTACAAGGAGAGTTCAGAAATTAAAAAAAAATTCCTTTAAAAACCAATGTCAATGCAAATATAAGACAAACTTATTTTGAAAATAATAAATACCTGTTCTATTAACTATTGAAGTGTTGTAATATAGTTCTATCTGGTAAATAGGGAGTTTTTAATTTAAAAAAAACTTACTCCTCAATGGGACGAAAATAAGAGATTGCCCTTGCCTCTATTAAATTTTTTATGATTATGCTGGTTAGACTTAGAGCAGAGATTGACTTTTATAAGCTATAACACTGAAGTGTCTGAGTTCAATAAGGCGGAAATGAAAAGCTTAACTTAAATGCCTGATCATTTTCTGGACCAAAAATTACCATTATGATTGAGATGAACCATAATTGTCTATTATTAAAACATATATTACAAAAGTCAGCTAAACAAGTTTTACCAGGTATTCATTTTTATTTTTAATTTTCCCCAACACCGGTTTCAATAAATAATTTAGGGCTTTTATCTCACATCATAACTGTAACATGTAACACAGAAGGCCTGATATTTTCTTATCTCTTATAACTCAAGTGTCAAGTAGTTGGAAGAAATGATATTAGTCTAATCCATGATAATAGTTTTATTAGGCAATTAAGAAATATGTTAACCTTAATACCGGTACCGGTACTGCTATATTTAAAAAAAAAAAAAAAATTAATTTCTGTAACAACAGGCTTTCCTTTTCATTTATATCTCTCACCAGTCAAGAGTCTAGTTCAAGATGTGCTTCTTGCTCATTTCCTAAATTAAACTCATTACCTCCACTCCCAATGAGAAGTCCATGTTAGTTTTTTATTTTGTAACTATCCTTTATTCATTTCATTCCCTACCTAGACTACTCCTGTCTTAACCCAGTTGTTAAGCAACCCCCCCCCCCCAACCACCCTAAACAAGAGATGTCAAAATTTTTGAATGGTAAAAGAATTAATAAAAAGTGATTGACTTCAGGGCTATTTATCCTAGGTGACATCTGTACTAATTCCTTCTCTCCGGGATTAAAATGTATCATTATGCTAGGAGCCATGCATGTTTATTTTGATTTCTCTTCAAATTTTTAAGTACCCATTTATTTCAGAATAAGTATGTAAAGGATCTGCAAAACATTGAAGATTTTGAATTGTGATGTACGTTGCGTTAGTTAATTGAATTTGGTGGCCATCGGACAATAAAAGTGTTTCCATCTGAAGTTTTAAATTTTTACTTATTTATTTTATATACCGGTACCTTTTTTTTTTTAAAATGTCAACTTCAAGCTTTGGCTGTCATACTTTGTTTTACTTGATTTCAGTTTTGCTATGAAGTCTTTAGCCAAATAGAATTTTGAATTTGTATTCATAAATAAAGAGCCTAAGCCATCTGCAAATTCTTTTTTAAAAAAAAAGCAATGTAACTTTCACCAATAAAATAAAATAAAAGCCGAAAATAAGCTTCAATTTTAACAGACAATGAAAACTGAAAGAAATACTTTAGAGCTCTTCATCTCAGGAATAATGGTTAGAAATCACCCTTTTATATTTGAAAAATCATTCAAATTTAATTATTTCCTATTTTAATAATTTGTTCTCCAATCTTTAAGAATTTACCAGCGTGCTCTTTAAGTCAACATTGTCACTAATTTGAGTGAAGTTCCATGGCAAATGTCATTTGATTTTTGCGCTTGAGAAATACTTATCGATGTCTTGTGTTAAATGTTCTCATTGAAAAATGTTTCTCTTTGTAAGAATAAAAATGTAAGTGCTGAAAATGGATGAGCACCTGTCTCAATTTCACTGCATCACTCAACAAGAGAACCGTTGTTCACCTGCCTGCATTTTACTTGATCATTCATCATTCAGTTATCTTCACAGCACAAACAAAGTGTTCATTCATTGACTATTTAAGGAATCATTGAAGGAAGCTGAGAATTAATATTTGATGACATTGTTTACTATGTAAATTCTTGATGATTGGATCAAGGCTTTGGATTCTCGAATTTTCTATTGTGGAAAGAAAAAAATCATTTGGCAATTTCATGGATAACTTAAATTTTTTCCACAAAAACTACAAGGAAAATAAAATTTAATACGTGAACAGGCCCAAACTACTAGGTGAACAGGCCCAAACTACTAGGTGAACAGGTCCAAACTACTAGGTCAACAGGCTCAAAATACTAGGTGAACAGGTCCAAATTACTAGCGATTTATAAAATGAAGTTTAAACTGCTGCATTTGAAAATTAACACACACAAAATTGTATAAATCCAAACACATCTCTAAATATAGGACCGTAGTGGAAATTGCTGGCAGGGCTGTAATGTGGCAGAATCTTTTTGCCTGCAGAACTTTCAAGCTTGAAATCTGGGATTACACAACTGTTGCCGATGTTTTGATCCACGTGGTCATGTGGGTAAACTTTTTTTTTTCAGTTACACACCTTAAGATCAAGCACTTGTCGATGTGGTCCATGTGGGTGAATTTCAATTTGCTTTTATTGCCGATGTAGAAGGCTTACACCAGCTGGGGGTTCGCGCATTGAGAATCTTGTGGAGCAGGCCAGGGCCCTCAATGAGCTGAAGCACCACTGATGATAATGTCTGAATGAAATGATTTGGTGGAGCAGGCCAGTGCCCTACATCGGCTGTAGCGCCACTGATGGTGATGACTGAATGAAAGGATGTGGTGGAGCTGGTCAGGGCCCTTCATTGGCTGTAGCGCCACAGAAGATAATGTCCGAGTCTATATGGAAGGATGTGGTGGAGCAGACCGGGGACCTACAAGTACTGTAGCGCCACTGATGATGTCTGAATGGAAGGCTGGGGTGGAGCAGGCCAGAGCCCTACATGTGCTGTAACGCCACTGATGATGATGTCTGAAAGAAAGGATGTGGAGGAGCAGGCCGGGGCCCTACATGGGCTGTGGTACCACTGATGGTGATGATGACGTAGGATTTTGAAAACACATTTTTAAGAATTGGTAAAATAGAAAGATTGCAAATTGTCTCATACACGACAATTGAGAAACTAGCCAATGTATCCCTTATACTTATACTTTTGTATCATGATAGCATGACAATAAAGATGGTCTATTTTAATATTGTGGGTAGAGATATAGATTATTTTAGACATGTAGCCATTGCGGTGGCTTGATAGCAACATGCGTGGCTAAATAACAAAAGCTATTGCCCACAAAATATATTTCCCGTAGAAGATATTTCCAACAGAAGCTATTCCCCACAAAAGGTATTGCCCACAAAGGCTATTGCAAAGAAAAGATATTTCCCACAAAAGCTATTTCCAACAAAAGGCATTTCCAACAAAAGGTATTTCCAACAAGATATATCCAACTAAAGGTATTTCTCACTAAAGGTATTTCTCACAAAAAATATTTCCCATAAAAGGTACTTCCTACAAAAAGATATTTCCCACAAAAGGTATTTACCACTAAAGTTATTTCCCACAAAAGGCATTTGCTACAAAGCTATTTCCGTAAAAATGTATGGATTTTAGAATTAGAATATGCCCCGAGACAAAGTAGTGTGGTTGAAATTCCTCCTCTCTAGAATGTGCTGAACTTAGCAAATGTCTCGGCTCTCTCTGGGCTGACAATGTCAAACTAAACCATCATCGTCCTTTTGATATGGATCACTGGGCAGTCGCAGGCCCAAAGTTCTACTTACTTTGTACTTTTAAGGCCAGAGATGACAAGCCTACAGTGTCGCTCCAGCTCTGGACAGATGGGCAAACGGACGCTGCTGACATCGAGGCTCAACAATTTCAACCTGCGTTGACAGTGTGCTCGAACTCGC